GACAAAACGCATTCTTGAGTGGAGACCCAGACAAGATGCCTTTAGGAATAGAGGACGACCACCAACAAGATGGACGGATGACCTGAAACGGACACATCAAAATTGGATGCAGGCGGCTCAGGACAGAAATTTGTGGGGCGAACTACGGGAGGCCTATGTTCAGCAGTGGACGAGTATGGGCTGAATGATGATGATGATGATGATTTTACTTACATTGATAATCTTGGTACTCTTAAACTTTTCGTGTCCATCCACACACTATTCATTGAGATGCTATCATACGCTTGCCGGAAATCTATAAACAGCTGACATACATCTTTATTTAATTCCCAACGCTTTTCCAGCTGTTGCCTAATACTAAAAATCTGATCTACTAGAGTACATTTGAAAATGATCGATAGCACCAAGTTTATAGCAAAGGTCTAACTACAGGGTTGGTCAATGCAGAAGAAAGCGTAATAATTGATATTGGTACCTTCTTATCTGTATTTTCACTCTATTTTAATATGGCCACCCCAACAAACCCTTAATACAATACGTCATTAAATGCAAATGAGCAAACTCTAAGGGATTAAGCAATAACTGAACGCCTCAGTGACGGAGAACATAAAATTACTTTAATATAAAATAAAAACTAAAATGTCAATATTACGTATTACCACATTAATCTTTATAAAAATACTAAATATTCGTTTAGGACATTTCCTTACAATTTAATAATAAATATATTTCAAAATGAGGTTTAAATCTATAAGTAGGTATATAAAAAAAAATCCTTAAAAGGGCTACATCAAAATAACAAACGTTTTCAGAATAATAATTCCATCATTAGGTTAAAACCAGCTTAACATGCCTGAGCCACCAAAATATTAGGGTAAAACCCTTTACAGTAATTACAGTTACCAAAGAATGTACATATTGTTGTTATAAAAGAATGATGTTTAATATTTTATTAGATTTTACTTCAGGCAACATACAACCATGCCTTACGTGAGTAGCAGCGTCCAGGTACCAGGTAACTAGTTACCAGCGGAAGTCCGTTTGAAGAGGTCTACCCTCCGCACGCTGGTACTCATGTAAGGCATGGTTGAATGTTGCCTGAAGTAAAATCTACTAAAATATTAAACATCATTATTTTTTAACAACAATAAGTACATTCTTTGGTAACTTTAATTACTGTAAAGGGTTTTACCCTAATATTTTGGTTGCTCAGGCATGTTAACCTGCTTTTAACCTGATGATGGAATTATTATTCCGAAAACGTTTGTTATTTTGATTAAGCCCTTTTAAGGGTTTTTTAAATATACCTGCTTACAAAGATTTTTTGTGATACATGGTATACATCCAGCTGCAGGAATTTATTGTCCTTGTGGATTTTGGAAATATATTTCGGGTACTAGCGTCATATAAACTTAAAATTAGTAATGTAAATATATAATTACATACCTAAATACATAAGCTGTCTTCTTCCGATAAGGAGGCATCATCATCATCAATTTCTTAATTTAGAGCAGAAATAATAATTGGTTCTATTGTTTCCTCTATTAACATGTCGAGTTTCCAGAATGTTTCTTCCTCTGCTATGATACATCTTATAGCTTTTTATCAATTGTCAGATGAAATTTTTGATATGGGGTCAGATAATAGTTGACGATCATTTGAAGTTTAAATATTATACTATTTCTCTCGACATATCCCTTCATTTCAGCTCATATTAGTTTTATTTCAAATATTGGTGGATATTGTTTGCATAGCTACAATAACTCTTTTTTGGGTAAATCTTCGGCTGGCACTACTATTTCTTTGGTTATTAGCCAATCCGAGAGTTCTTGCTTTCTCCATTTAGTGTTAGGTAACGGTTCATTTATTCTTGAATGGTAACCAGTATTGTCCATGGTTATTACAGAATTGGTCGGTAATAAATCTATCATTCGACTGAAATATTCCTCAATAACAGCAGCACTCATTTTTTCATGGCAGTTGTTCGTAGAATTGGAAATAAAATCTAGTTAGCATCCATCAACAAATCCTTTATCTCCTCCAATATGAGGGATAATTAAACGGCGACCTGTAACATTTGGAAATTTTACGCCTGTAGACAAACCTGTAAATGCCTGACGAGAAGTTCTAACCAGTTTATCTTGCCAATATTTTTTTTACAAATTGCCCTTCATTTATCCATATTTCATCTAAATCATATTTTTGCCTTCTCTCAATTTTCGAATTTCTCTTAAACATTGACTCCTCCAACAAATAATTTCTTCTTCCTCTATGAGCATAGATTTTCTATTGTTATTTTTATAAACGAACCTAATTCAAGTAAATATTTCCACAATTTATCTCTTTTAATGTTTGGCAAATATTCGTCTTTATTAATGTCTACTAAAAGTTTATCCAAGGTAGGAATCTTTTTTTGTAAATAAATTGAATGAACTTTTCTTCGAATGGAGTGTTTCACACTATCGTCTATATGAATATGTTTCTTCCCTGTTGACGTTTTAGGTGGTTCTGTAATACTTTCACTCTTTCGTTGCTTCAAAAGTTTATAAATAGTTGCTTCTCCAACTCCGGTTATATCTGAACACTTAGAAACTTTTTTCCGAACAGTACTGTAAAATGTTCATGTTAAGATTAACAGGTTGTGTTTCTAAAGTCCTGTGATTATAACACGCAGAATCTTAAACCTAATCTTCAACACGTTCTGCCGCGCCGCTTGAAGAAAGTTGAGGGCTTATAAATTGACGCTCTCCTTTTTGAACATTGTAAATATTTTGTATCTGTAGAGATTACGTGTTTACATATGGTTTATATCATTTGTTGAATTGAAATAAACTGGAACCTATGTTAAAATTTTAGGTAAAACCCAAACATTTTCCTAACAATGCTGAATATTTTATTTTAGAAAATCTCAGTCACTATTTTATGATGCTTTATTGTGTTTTATCTTATGTGCAATAAAATTTGCGCTATCAATAATTTTCAAATGTACTATAAGTGTTTCTTGTATTCTTTATTAATTCGTTTATTCGTTTAACTGAGTATCTACTTTTCTCTTTTCTTGTATCTGTCTCTGTTATTTATGTGTTTGTGGTTAAGTTTCTTAATTTAAATACTTTTTTTATTTGTTGTATTATGGTCTTAGTGGTATATTATAGAGATAATAAATCTAACTCTTCTATATCCTTTTATCAACGATCTGTAATTAATCATCCTCAAGAAAAATGTGCTGTTAACACACCACTGTCGGATTTAGAAAAGCTCGTAAGTATCTTATAAAATGCATATTTATAAGGCATCAACTATAAATCAACTCAGCAACAATCTGTGTTGTTGATAAAATTATCACTTTTTAATCTTGTCTGAAAATATTAGCGTTTTACGTAAGCATATTTCCTTTAATAATCTTATTTTTAAAATAGAATATTCAATTCTTCTTAATGGGTCACGTCGATAAATCTGAAGCCTACAAAGGGCGCTTAAATCCTCTTAAAACAGTTTGTGGTGACGTGATTATTTTCTAACACGATAGCTTTATTGTTTACGTAGACCGGTAAAAATATCGGCAGCTTCTAGTTAAATTTCAGTCGTTGATAATAATGTGTCAATACAATAAGTGAAAGAGTAAAGTATTCGCGTTTAGCACAAGACAAAATATAATTTTTGAGTTTACTACTGAGTGTTTTCAATATCAAAATCTCTTGTACGTATTTATTGCTCTGATATTTCAACTGTTTTGATCTCTCATATTTGACAGACAAATTAGAAAATATTTGTATTTTTATTAACAGTGGTTATAATTTGTAAATGAAAACATTTTCCCATATCAGGAAAAAGGATAAAAAAGAATTGAGCTCTGATGGTGCATTTTTCGAGTTATCGAGTTCTAGACTGGAGTACCACAAGTTATCTTACGCATCTTGACGTCGCGAGCTTTTTGCATGGTCTTATGGACGCGGTCTCTAAGATCCAATTATTTAACGTTTGGATCTTCTTCTTGTTGCGCCTACCCGTGAGGAATGTTCGCGATGATCATGGCAATCTTTATCTTGTCTGCAGCAGCGCAAAAAAGCTCCACATATTTGTTGAACCAGGTTCTGAGGTTCTTTAACCAGGATGTTCGTCCTGGATCTCCTTTCCAAATATTTTTCCTTGCACGATGGCTTATCTGGATTCATTTTGCATAATATATCAGAAGTAGGACTTAATGGTGGTCAGTATCTCTCGGTCAGTGTTCTCGGTTCTTTCATTCTTCTGGCGATTTTTTCATTTGTGACTAGATCAGTCCACGGAATCTTCAGTATTCTACGATATAGCGACATGTCAAATGCTTTCAACCTTCTGCTCATATTTTCGTTCAAGGTCCACCATTCAACACCATACAAGAGACCAGAACATACATCGTACACATTTGTTTGGACACCCTAGAATGTATCTAAAATGACATATTTTGTAAAGGACCATAACCTTTGACGAATCTTTCTTCTACACTGTCCAATTTAACATCTCTTTTTGGTTGTTCTTTCCATCCAAGATTTAGCCATACGGCTCACACTCCCTCTAAGGGGAAAATTCACTCCTTCCAGATACCTACGGTATCTGGAAGGAGTGAAAAAACTCAAAAAAATACGTATTTTGCACCTATAAACGCTCATAAATAAACAATAACCAAAAATTTTTTGTTGAATGAACTGGGGATTGCTCCTGAGTTTGCCATACAAATTCCTGGATTACAGTGTAAAATCACCCTTTTTCCCCCACAGCCTGGGCTATATAAAATTATAAATACTTTTACGTCGTCATCCCAATAAGAATTTAGCAGTTAAAATCTAAAGATTGGGATTTCTCCAAAAACATGTTCAATTGACCATTGCAAAACTTTTGTTTTAATATGTTACTTATAAAAACACTGAATTGCCAACTTTATTGTAATTACATATATAATATTTAGCACTTATGGATATAAATAGCATCATAAAAAATAATTTTATTGCGTTCACCAGAATTTTGGCGCTTCGAAACACAGGTTTCACAGGAACTGTTAAAAAATTAATCCCTTGAAATGTACCGTGACGACAAATTGAAATTATTACGCGAACGTATTACGCGCTGTTGGAATTCTCCCAAAATATTCTCAGTCATCTCCGGAACACCGTGGACATGTACCGCCGTGGAGGCATAAAAATACCGATATAAAAAAATTTCATCATTACTGACGTTGGACGTTGCTTGTTGTTGTCGGTGTATCTTTGTTCGCGATGTTGATGACGGCCATCGGGCCGGACTTCGGCGCGTCACAATTGTCGTCGGAAATATGGAGCTGCAAAGCATGGTCATCTATACCATTATCAATATCCAGTTGCCAGTTGTGGGAGTTTGCAAAAGAGAAGAAGGATGCCTCGGATGGATCAAAGGACAAATTAAACGGTTAATATGTGTTTATTTTATATTTTATTGTTTACAATCACCAAATAAAAAGATGCTCATACATATTAAAGTAGATGTAGGCTACACTCCTTCCCTAACATTTTTTTTATTCTCCATCCCCAAATGTCCCTTATCCACGCTTACCTTCTTGTTCATTTACTTGGTTCTGTTTCTTTGCATATTTCCTTAATTTTATCACACCATTCACTTTATTTGTTGTTCTTAACTGTAGGATTGGTCTTGATTATCGTAATACATAATAAATATTCTTCTGTTTTCTTTTTTTATATTTTTTAATTTTTTTTTTGTTATTTAGTCATCAGCTGTTATTCTAATCTGATATTTTTTCATTCAAAATACTTTCTAGACATTTGTATTTAGATACTTATTCGAGTTTGTACATTATGGTTTCTTTATAGTATGAGATACCGCTGCAAAATCACTACGTCCATAATGTCATTAATCTAACTCATATTTTTACATACATTAGAATACATTGATAACAGGTTGCCAGCCAAAAAGTTGAAAGTTTTTAATAAAAAAACCATCCACATCATAGCAATGCCGGTAAAGAATTTGAAAACCCATGGGTACCGTTTACGTTTAAACAGGTAATATTTTGGTGAATTTTTACGTTCATGATATAATATGCGTGTTTTTTATATTAAATTAAATAGTCAAGTCATCAGAGATTTGGGCCCTAAAAATTATACGAACAAGCTGTACAAGAAAAAAATATTTCAAATAAAACATGAAACTGAGACCATTTGAAATGTCAGATCCGCTCGCAAGTCAATGTTAAATAAAATTTGTATCAATAGTTTTTGATCAGAGTATCCTATTGACAAAAATCAAAATGGGTTTTAAAGGTGAAGAGTGCAGCTTTTGTATGTAATTTTTGTATTTTGCCGCAAATGAAGTCAGTTTCTATAAAGCTGTTCAATAAATTAACTTTGAGCAATTTTTGCCACTTTTTACGATTCTCGTGAGATCAATAAAATTTATTAGTTTCATTGACCGGTCGTAGTGAAGTTTCCCTTGTTGAAGACTAGTCTTGACTAGTTGGTTTTGATTTTTGGCAACGAATATGAGGCATTTGAAATATGACTAAAAACGCAGAATTTAAACTTTTACATTACAAAACAAATGATCGCACGTCACGGGAAATGCCTCCAAGAAGACGGTTTTAGGTGTAATTTATAGTACTAGTTAAGTACTTTTGAAAAACGTACTAGTGTTATTAAAAAAGAGCAATTTTAAATGTTTTAGATGGTTTGTGATGTGAAAGTTTAAATTCAGCGTTTTTAAAGCATATTTCAAATGCCTTATATTTGTTGCCGTAACTAAAAACTAAAATTCCATGCAATAGATTTTGAAGATTCGGTTCTAGTTATGGAAACTCCATAATGGCCGGTCAATGAAAGGGATACATTGTATTGATCTCATCAGAATTATAAAAAATGGCAACAATCGCGCCACGTTTATTTATTTAACACCTTTATAAAAACTGAGTACATTTGCAACAAAATAAAAAATTGTATACGAAAGCTGCCATTTTTACCTTAACGCCTCGTCATTTGTGTCGTTAGGACATTCGGATCGAAATATATTGAATTTTTACCGTCGAGCTGATAAAAATTTTATTGAGCATTGATTTCGCGCGCGTAACTGACATTCCAAATCGCCGATCGCTTCAATCGTTATTTCTGAGAGAACGGTTCATTCTACACAAAAAATGCTTTACACAAAAATAAACTTTTTTGTTTAAAATTATCTTAGCTACATTTTTTATTTGAATCATTTTTTTCTGTGGCGTACAGATTCCTGGTAAATCGATTTTTTTCCGTTTTTCCCCCTCTAAAATTGACTTTTCTGCAAAATTCAGCTTGTTTATATGATTTTAGAGGTTTAGTTGCATTTTCGTCTCTGACGACTGGAGTATAAGGCTAATTTTTTTTATAAGATTGCCTGTGAAAAAATGGTCGCAAATTGTTACCAGCTGTTAAAACGCGGGGTATCAAATGTAAATTGAAACATAGTTAGCCCGCAACGTCACTCGTTTGACAAGGATAACGAGTGCCAATTGTGCAAGTTGTAAAAGCTATTCTCCTATTCTTAAATGTATGAAAAAAAGTGAGTTTGATTAACTACGTTATGAACGTAGAGATTTTTCAGCGGGATCTTATTTAATGTTTTATTATTTTATTGTCGTTTTTCGTTTTGTTAAAGTTTTTATTCCATTGCATTTTCTTTTTTGTAGTTATAATTTCTATCTCCGCATCTGCGCGTTGGGCTCCTTAATTTAATTGATTTTATATTTGGTTAATGAAATGTAATATTATTTATTAGCTATAGGAATTATAATACAATCGTAATAATTAACCTAGCTAGAGAGAATATCCGTTCCGTAAGTGTACTCTTCGTTTACTGCTACTAATTTTGTGTTTCTAACTAATTGTTTAGCCCAGGTGTGGTTAAACTTTAATTCTTTGGGGGCTACTTATTCTGTAAAATATAGTCTGCTGGTGACAGGTATATAATTTAATAAATAAATACACAAAAAATTTTAATAATGAAAATAAATAATGGATGTTATCCACATCAGTTCAAGTAGAGGGATTACTATCATAGTCTCGATGTTATTTAACCTACATTACTGTGCGAATTAATGAAATTATAGGCTGTTTTAATGAAAAAACAGTTTATTTAGAAAAAAATTATATTTTGACAAAACTATAAAGGTAAACTTATATTATTTAGGAGGAAATATGTCTCTCTTTGGCTGCAATTACTGCTTTTGCCCGTTTTGGAATGTATATTCTACGAGTTTCTGACAGTTCCCAGATATCCTTTCATCTCGAAACCAAACCTGAATGACCGCTTCTATAATTTTTATTTTTGTAGTACAGTCGATTTCGCGCAGTCTAGCTTTGCAAATGGTCCATAAATTTTCAATGGGGTTGAGGTCTGGTGAATTACCCGGCCAATTTAAAACATTAATCTTCTTATTTTTGAAACATTCCATCATTTGCTTTGACTTGTGACAGGGAGTCCTGTTGAAGAATCGCTCCTCCTTGGGGCTGAAATTTTTGGAATTCTGTGTCCAAACGATGTTCCAACATGGATTTATATTTTTGGCTGTTCATATTGCCTTGATTGGTTCCAAAAGATCCAACCCTCATGTATGAAAAACATCTCCAAAACATTTTTTTACTGGATGTTTTACGGTTTGATCAATATGAGATGGTGTAAGGTTTTCATTGTCAGACTTCCTGACGAATTTCGACAGATGTTCTTAAACTATAAAGTGAGTTTCGTCTGTAAATAGGGCTTTTCTCCAGTCGTCTACAGTCCAAATAGAGTATTTTTTGACACATGCATTTGGATGTGTCAATAGAACACTCCGATCAAAGGATATAAAGAACCTGTGTAGAAATTTGACCATGATCGTGAAAATTCCATAAAATTTTTAAGCCATCCAATATGATTAAGAATAATTGTCGTAATTGATAAATATACTCTTTCGATTTTTCAGCTCTCATTATTTTCTTTAATTGCTGAGCTACATTATTTAACTTGGAAAATGATTGATGATAAAAATTATTACATCCAACTTTGCGGTTTTATCACGGTTTCTATATAATCATGTCTTTCTACTCTGTTGCCAAATTCAAAGTCAATACCATGACTTTCTTCATTCATTTAGCATGAGTCGTTAGCTAATTTATTATTAACTTCTAAACTTACCAACGAAATAAAATATAAAATACGCGAATAGACTTTGTAACTGTATAATAAATCACAAAGCAGTAATTTTTTTGGCATTTAAAAGATTCGATTCTGCAAATCGTTGGCAACTTCTTAAATTGTATAGTACAATGTATTTGTCATCAATAGTTATTCATTCTCGAAATGAAATGTCCTTTAATATTAATATTGGTGTAAAACACAATATATTTTCAAACACTATATATTTTCTCAAACACACTTTCTTCCTATAATTTTATTTTATTTCCATTTAACTATTGTTTGAATTTTTATTAGGGGTATTTAAAGTCATGCGCAATGTTGAAAAACATTTGTCCTGGATCTTCTCTATTTGTGATTGTGAAGAATTCGTTTTATGATTGCATGTCTTCATTTTTGTAATAAATAGTATGGAAATCTAAGCATTGTTCCATTGTTAAAACACTACATCGATAGTTTTTAGTGTGACCACAAATAGGATACGTCGGCAGGCTTGGCGTTTAATAGCTGTAATAAAATAAAAAGGAAATCGTTACTAAAAATGTTGACAAAATTTTTCAGATAAGAAACCACCTAGAAAACTAGGCTTACTCATAAGATTTAGTAGGGCACTAACCTCAGACGGTTTTAAACATTTAATATCCATTTTTCATGACAAATCGGCATTTTCCTTGCCTTTTATGTTTATTGTCCGGTTCCATTGATGCTTTCACAATGAGTTAAACAGCTTTTCAAAACTAAAAATATTACAAGTTACGATGTACACACAACCTGCACTGACGACATTCAATACAGACATCAAGTCATCAACCAGCTATGTTACCTGTGCAGCTCACGTTATCAAACGAGCGCTCTGGTTGGTGAAGTTGGACTTTGCTGGCATTGCTTTTCAGATTTCAGAGTATAGACTTGAAGTTTCTTTGGCAAACTTAAGGCCAGTTTTTAATTAAAAAAAAACAAATGTTTCTACGCTGTTTTTGCTACAAGAGATTAATTGTCTTAAAAGCAGACAGTTCATTATATCTATTGCCACCAAAATATCGATTTCCGAAAAAGTGGAGATTGCAGATTTTGCCTTCAGTCTTCACATATGCAAGATTAAATAGAGATGTAAAAAAAGAAAAAGAGAAAAAAGATATAGTTAACAAGGTCAAGAGAAGCATGAAAAACGGTTAAAAACCTTAAAACAAAAATGAAACGGGTCAAATAGAGTTAATATATGAAAGTACTTGGATGGAACATTACTGACAACT